TCACGAGAATCGGTTTTAAAATAATACCAAATGAACTATCACATATTTTAATCAGTGTCATGTTAAGAACTGAAATCAACTCACGAATAATGTCGAATGTGTGACTATTTACGAATTTTTACTTAATTTTCATAAAACGTTACATTACACAATGAAAAAAAATCATTAAGTTAGGTGTCATTGGCGGAGATTAGTTAGTATTAGCAACGTGCTTTAGGTACTTATACACTTTAGGGAAGGTGAGTTTCGTATATTTAAAAAAAGGACCTACTTAATATTCATATACAGAGCAGATCGCTGGTTAACTATTATTTTGAGGTCGTCACGTAAAAACATAACAAACTTACTCTTGACAAGGTGGAAAAGCATCACTTTCTTGTAAGTAGTTTCACTACTCGACCATAGATGGCGCTATGTGTAATATCCGAAACGAGATCCTAAAATTGCGTTACTTGTGAAATTCTAGAACTAACCTTAGAGGTATCCTTAAAAAGGTTAACAAATAAAACCACGAATAAAATCAAGATGATTTTTTATATTAATGTTAAAGAGGATTAATGTTAATATTAAGAACAAAAGTATTTTGTTTCTATATGTAAAGAGTACAACGTCTATAACATCTATTAATAGAAGCGTTTACGTTTTATAAATTTTAAAAGTTATAAAATTTATTTACTATATCGAGTGGGTTAAAATCAATTTTCTTAGGTATTATAATGCTGTCCACACTTCTAAACCAAGTTATACTGTTCATAATTACTGTTTCTATGTTTATTACTGAAGGACTTCAATTCCACGTCTTGAAATTTAAAAAAATTAAGTAAATTACGATTCATTTTATTCGTTTTAGGAGTTTCAAAATGGCCACCGTAAAGATAACGATTTTCCGCGAAAAAATGTCAGAAAATTAAAAGCATGGCCAATAATATGCCTCAGCATGTCCCGAAGGTCGAATAATTATAAGATACAATTAAATTAATAAAAAATATTTCACTTTCAAACGTGTGAAAACAATTTTATGTGCATTTAAAAAAATAGGAAAATTTGGTGCAAGAAGAATATTTATGTAGGATATTTACTTATTAATGATTAATATAAGTCCTCTTTTTACGTCAAAGCTTAACAAGGAGACCGGTCTTTAAAATCCTAAGGATTGTTAAGTTGGATTTCCGGTTTAGAAATGTGTACAGATGAAGCGAATACTTTTAGTTTTTCTTTTTACTGATACTTAATATAATTTATACTATTTTTCAAGCATAGTAGGTAGCGTAACTATATTCTTTAGACTAGTTTATACACCTTTCTGACATAACAAATTAAATTAAAAAAAATTACAGGTTAGCCAAATATTTTTGCATTTGATTTGTATCCTGAATTACAAAATGCCAAGCGTTTGTTAGCTTAGATTACGAACAAAACTTAAATATAATAACATTTCAATAATTATTCTTAAAAGAAACCATCATTAGAACAGCCGTTGTATTTTTATAATCTAAAAATGATTTCATTCTAAATGCGAGGACTAAAATATTGGCAGTTAGATTTAAAACAGAATGTTCACAATCATAATAAAACTTAGGTCATATCTTGTAACTACGTCAAAATGTACATTTAATGTATTTTAAAAAAATGTATTTGTAGAATGTAATATTACGTTCATTAGAAAGAGTGAATGAATATCATGATCGTGCAAACATTTTGCTTTTTTTTTTAATTTATAAAAATTCTTCTGTAACAGTTTTAACCAGATGTACAAGAGATGACCCAAAATATCTTATATCCAATATTGAAATATTTTTAACTTAAATATAAAGTAAATAATAAAAAAACTTAATTGATACACATTTTAAGGCTCACGTTTTTATAGATGCGTTTGAACATCTTTGTTCTTAAAAATTTTTAGGGATTTCGTATTAATAAACAGTGAAAGAGATGGCAACAAAAAAAGATTCATCAAAATTTGTCAGTAAAAACGTGAGCAGAAAAATCAACCATTACGCAACATAATATACGAATTATAAAATTAAAATGTAAAATGCCAATATGAAGTACGACACACATTAAATAAAAAGAAATTTACTTGTAATGTTTCATAAAATTATTGAATAAATATTCTTAAAAGAACAATACTTGAATGCTTATTTTAATGAAAAATAAACTTTATTTATTTATAGAAAAAATGTATTTTATATAACATAAAAAGAACTTATTCTAGTTTAAACTTAGTACTGAAATAAACTTACTGACTAGTTTTTATATAAACCAGAATTTTATGGTAATATTTTTTGTACCTCTGCTATTTACTATTACAAAAATTAACAGAGATATAGTTGTTATATTTCCCATAAGACTCTCATGGTTACATTAATACAAAATTAATATTTTCGACACACAGCATTTTAAATTGAATCGTCAACTTAATGGAATAAGATTCTATAATTACTTAACGTAAATAATTATTAGGTATCGTATAGTTCTAGAACGAATCGATCAAGTTTCAATACTTTTTGACCTTTTCCTCTGTACTTGAAAAAGGACCGAGGTTTAAAAACGTATTTTTGTCTGATATTTCGGTCGTTTTATTTGCGTACAAATCTTACATCGAAGTTCAACAGAGTTGCCTTTTTAGTTCTGACTATATATAGAAGCTCTGGCTTCTGCATGGAATTTTTGCTGTGATATGTTAGGTGCTTGTTTCAATTTTTTATTAAATAGGCATATACAGGATGCCCTGGAAACAGTGAATAAGTAATAATTATTCAAGGGCGTAACAATAGCTCAAGAATAACAACTTTAGATTGTCACTTACGCGTACTTTAAACTAAGTGACATAGTATGCATCCCTGATGGTACTTATAATGTTTTTACGGTCGAAGTACATTATGGACACCGAGATGCATTATCGTTTTTGTCACTCTTACAAATTTGCATTGCGTCTCCCAGATTAAAGGGCAGGGAGAGACAACAATATCAACGGCATAGGAGATTTAGGATCGTATTCCAGAACTCTACTCAATGCTCAAGTCAGGATTGCACTGGCAACACAAGCACTGGAAATACAACCCTAATGGCAGGGACTTGAGTATGATTTCGAGTGCTTTAAACCATACTCAAATCCTCACTTGAGCATTGAGTAGAGTTCTAGAATACGACCCTTATAGTCTTATGTCTATGTTCTGTCATCTCGTGTAGATGTCGCTGAAGTGACAGCGAAGTAAATTCAGCGACCTGTCTGTGTCCGAAGTCAAACGGATTCAGATGGGTCGTTGCAGAGACAAGATGTGTGAATGGAATTTTAGGGGTGTTAATTCAACCCAATGTAACTGCGGTGTTCTGGACACAGTCCATGTACTTGCTCGTGTGCCCCTCGTGTCCAAATACACGAGGGAAAATTGCGCAATCGAAGTGGCAAAACAACAACCTTGTCAAAGCATTTTGTAAGGATACGGTCACGTTTTTTGAAATGTGCTGGGTTGTCACTCACTAAATAGCACGCCACCTTGTATATTTCACGATTTTTATTTACAAAAGCAATAAGGGCACAATGCAGTTTACTGTTTAGTACTAGCATGGGCCAATAACACAAGAGGACTGATAATCTCCAAACTACAGATCGTTACTGTGATAAATGGCAAAAATCTGTCTTGGCGCGGACCAAGCAGCCTGGAAGTAGTTTATATTATGTAAATGGCCATGGATATCAGTTAATTCCTCTTTAATATGAAATACAAGCAAAAGTTTTTGTTTTCCTTGTAATATTATTCAAATTTTGTCCATGAGCTAAAATGATTTTCTGAACTTTGACAAATATGCGCACCAATAGATAGCATTGTGTGTTACAAACTAATTTGTAAATTAACGCTTGCTAATAATATGGGTAGATGGCGCTAATCCTAAACAAAATAAAAGAATAAACGGTAGTAGCCTTAAAAATCTGTGCAATCAGCGCCATCTAGTTGATTTGTTTGTTATCACTAGAAATTAGCGTAGTTTTGATAAATTGCAGCTCGTCAATGTAAAACAAATAAGTTAGAATACAAAAATAGCTGCGCTGTCTTGTATCGCGATCCTCTTGATTTATTGGTCAATGATGCTAAGTATTCTATGGAGAACAATATGATAGTTGAACGCTGAAAATATGAAGATCATGACGATTGTCCCTATTAAATGGTAACATCGTTCGTTGTTAATTGGTCGTCACGTTCTGACTGCTCTAAATGGAAAGAGGAGAAGAACATAAGGGATTTCTTACTTCAACTAATTAGTTGACTAACTAAGAATGGAAGGATACAAATGACTGCAAGAATGGTCTTTAAGGGCTCTTACACATAAACACGATACGATGCCGCGTCGTGCTACGACGCGCGTGTCGTGGAAATCTACGACGAGGAACGTAAAAATTCAAGACACATCGCAACGTGGCACAACGCACGACGTGGTATCGTAGAAACTCACGGTGCGCTCTCCAGTTTCGCATTTATTTGATATTATATTCCACGATACGCGCGTCGTAGCACGACGTGACGTCGTACCATGTTTGTGTGTCAGAGCCCTTACACGTTCGCTGGCAACTAGGTGATTTTGGCGTTAATTATTTCGGATCTAGCAGTTGGAATAAATCAATACCTCTACATTGTTTGGAAACTATACTCACACAAAGACAGTGGTCACATATATCTAACAGTCAACTAGTTGCGTACGGCGAAAACACGACTAACATTTACAAATAAGGGCGCGTTCCCATTATACCGTAACGTTTTATTTATAGTTGAACGACTGTCGTGTCTAACTGTTACCACTAGATCGTGACAACAATTTATCGGTTCACGGCAACAGCCTTGCCGTTTGCACGACAGAAGCTACGATTATCTGTTGTCACATTTTTATCGAGAAGTTTTATTTATCGTCAGACGACTGTCGTTCTAGCTCTTCCCATTGTTACGACAGTCTGTCGTCGTAACGTCAAAAAAGTCGTGAATGACAGTTAATCGTGTTGTACCATATGGGAACAGCTTCATTTAAATATACAAGCCACGACATTTTAAACTGCACGACTATCAAATGGGATGCACGACTACAGAATGGGAACGCGCCCTTAATTTACCATCGACAATTTAATCTGAAAAGCACAATAGAAGAAGGCGCTTACATCTACACAAATAAAGCATACACTTAGATACATTTAAAAAAGTTTAGCCTGTTCCACGATTTTGCCTTAAAACGGCTACAGGCATAGGTGCAGGCATATCGAACTCTTCGACAATTGTTTTGGGATGCAAAGCACTGATGTTGTTATCTACAGTGTAAGTTCTCGGATGAGTTTGCGCTAAGGCAGGGGCAGTATTCTCCAGCCAGTCGTTGGAGTTGCGAAGGCGCTTTCGTCGCGCGACTTGTTTGTCGCGTAGATGTTGCAGCCGTGCGAGGTGGCCTTTGATCTGTTGTGGACTGAGTCCGGTGCGGCCCGAGTGCAAGATTTCGGCGTTATAGCGATACGAGCCTTCAGGGTCACGGCGGTTCCATTGATATCTGGAAATTCAATATTAGTTGGTGAGTATAATATTCACGGAGGAATTGAAGCATTTGTAACGAAATTGTACATATGTAGCATAATGAACTTGGAAGACGCGAGTTTGTACGTTTTTTTTACAATTGACACAAAGTTCATTATTGAGCGGTATTCGCTTCCATTTCCTTCTGCGGTAATATAAATTGAGCCCAGTATTTTTAGAATAATGGTCCTCGAAAATGAGCATATTAACTAAATAGAAGCATAATACAAAAAAAATATAAATGAACTAGATATGTAAAAAGTAGTGTACTATTTCGTTTGTTTAATGCCATCCACATAATATGCTTATATATTATTAAATTATAAATTACTATTTAACCTGTATATACATACAAAAGTCAACGCAAAATTAGGTTTTAAATTTTTTTATGATACTGAGTGGCAGGACAGACCATGGACGGACAAGTCGTACGCCTGGTGGTAAGTGACACGCGTTTATTTTTTATACACAGGAAAATGTGTTACGCATTCTGCACCGCGGGCGATGACATGGCGGGGTTATGTGGGACTCTCTTCCGTTTATCCATCCTCGGAGGCCTACCCACTAAAAACCTGTGTACGCACTCTCATCCGCCTGTGCCGGCACGTGGGATCCGGTTAAGTCTTGCCACTCACCCCGGTTGGGTAAGCGACACGCCTGTCCATAGCAGCTGCAGTGTCATTCAGAGCAACGCAGTAATACAACGTCAACGCTTGGCGGCAGGAATAGGTAAGGTGGCAGTACTTCCCTGGAATTACACTTGCACAAGGAGGTCTACCGCTGCAAATAAGTTCTATGGTTCTGACCACACTATACTAAGCCCTAAAAGTTTATCTTTAGATAAGAGCTTCGCAATTGACTTTGATTTGGCTGTAACAAAAAGATCCAAGCATAGAGCTGATGGCGGTAGCTGGTGACATAACAGAAATTTTTGGTAAGAAAAATATGCCGTAAATTGGAAACGATAAGTGATGGAGCAGACGTCAAGGCAAACGCAAGATGGACGGACGACCTGAGAAAGGTGACCAACAGCGGCTGAATGCGGGCGGCACAGGACCGAGAGAGTTGGTGTACTCAGGGAGGCTTACGTTACGTCCAGCAGTGGTCGCGTGTAAGCTGATGTCTGAATAGTAGAATTGGAAACTTGTACAGAGAAGTAGGTCAGTATCTTATGCTACACTGCAGTGACCATAGTAATTCCCATTTCGTGAAAGAGTGTTATTGTCTCTACTAATCTTTGTTTGTGACTAAATGTATTGTAATTTGGATGGACGAATTGATGTTGAACGTTAATAAAAAGGGAGATGTTTGTTGTTAGTTAACCAGAATTTATGCAACTAAAGTTTCGAGAACCCCACTAAAACTGTCGTTGGGTTACAAATGCTGACAAATATGTTATATATAATGCGACGTATGTTTGTTGCTATCTGCAAAGTATTACACGTGTGTTGGCATACTTTTGGTCAGTACTATTGTTTACAGTTGCAATATAGTACTTAGGTTTACTACAAAATTAATATTCTATAACAACTTACCCAGGGAAAGGTCTTGTCAATCGTCTACGCGGTAATGGTCTCGATCGCTTCCGTAGTTCATTCGGTCTTAGATCGTATGATTTCAAGTTACTTCTCAAAGAATTCCTCGAATGTGATTGTGGCCTTAGTCGTATGGGGCTCGGTTGGAGGTCGTAGGACTTCGGGTTCAGCATCGGGTTGGCGGTGACTTCGTTGTTTCTCGGGTCGTTGATTTCTCGGCTTATACTCGGCGCGGTTATTTCGTTGATCTTGCCCATACGCTCCCAACGTTTGCGTAGATCCTTCAACTTCGATTTGGGAACTTTGCGAAGCTTCGTTTGGCATATGTATTGGCGTGGTTCGATGCAGCTGCGTGGTGCCCATCTGTAAATCGATGATATTAACGATTAGAAGCATCTCTGTTAAGTTAAATTAAAATTTCGCAACGACGATTTGAGGTGAGATAATTTGAAAAGTCTTAGAGTCAATTACTAATTTTAATAAGCTGATTAAATATAAAATAACGGCTTTATTTGACACGCAAAACACACAAATTACAAACAATCGATCACAAAAAAAAACAAAAATTTCAAATCGAAAAATGAAAAACATGTAAATAGGGTCCATGACTCAGCATTTACAGATTATGCTAATTCCACAGCCGTCGCTGTTGTTCTGCTATGGCCAGTCATAAAATGGAACACGATAATCAAACTATTAACTATTTAAATTAGTATAAATAACAGATTTAGGCACAAATCAATTAAATTTGATACAAATAACAATAGGTCAAAGAAAATAATCAAATTGAGTAATAATAACAATAATAATAGTGTGTCTTCACTGAAATAAAACTTGAGGCGGTAGGATTTCTGTGGCGTGTCGCTTTCAGTACAAATACAGAAAGCGAACCTGCTCGATACGGCACGTATTAATATAATAATAAAATATTTCTTTATTTAATTATAATTAATATTAATTATAATTAATTTATATATTATTATTTTTTTTGTTTAAATGGGATGTTTGCTTACAAACTGTCCTTATAATTATATTGACTGAATCGCTTTCTATCTCGCAAGAAAAACCAATGTCAATGTCGTATTATGACAAAAAAATCATCTACTCAATTCTCGGCAAACAGAATTTGAATGAAATTGAATTCCGCCTCTACAATTTAAAAATTCAAAATTAATCTCTTAGGCCATAATAATCGCAATGAATTAATGTTCATATCTATCCCTGACTCTCCTCATATAAATGACACATCAAGTCGTGAAGCAGATTAGCTTAAATATCATCTGCTTAACAGTAAAACCGTTTAGCAGACAGAAATAAGTGATATTTTCCCAAATAATCTCCAAATTATGTACCTGTTGTCAGAAAATCGCCATATTTCTCCAGATAATTATAGTTTCACGTGCAGAAAGATAGTGATTTTCTTTCCAGAGCTACATAAATTAAAGAGTTTTTGTTTATAATGCTACTTATGTGGTTTTACCTTTAAAAAGACAATATGTGACTAATCTTATCTAGGTTGTCAAGAATTAAGTTTCATAAGTGCGCGTTATCTCTTTTATTAAGATTCCGATTAACTATAGTTACATGCTGTCATAATATTGTGTACCGTAAACCAAGACATGTGTTAGCAAGTCCTGTATTTAAACGCACGTATTTATTAGCGTACACAAATTTTTGCATCTAAATGCAAATACCTTCATTTGTATTCATAGTCCGCACTGAATTTCAAACTGAGTTTTAAAAATGGAAGTTTATTTCTCGTTTGACTGACATTTCATAAGCGAACCATTCGTTCTTATAATCCCGAAATGAATTTATGGATGACATGGCCATCTGTTGAGTTTGGGGACCGAACAATGGACCGATACAACGGTTGCACCATAACACCGCAAATCGTATAATTTTATATTGGTTTCGAGGGATATAATATTGTTTAGAGACGTGGTTTCGGTCAAATGAACGAGGACTGTGTTGGTTTGTGTTTATTTTATAGGTTGCAGCGAAAGAGCTGGGCGCCAAGTGTGCTTTTTTTTTTAAAACAATGGTCATTGTAATCCATTGAGACTGCACTTGGATTATATTGCAATTATGAGAGCGGTTACACACAGTGTCTTACAGCAACGATGCAAAAGCGATGCAGTCGCTAAGCCTCTATCTTCACACACGCGCGGGCTTTTAAGCAGCGATGCAAGCGCGCGACTGCTTCGATACAAACACGCGATTGCATCGCTATACTTAGGATTTGTAGGCGTTTGTATCGATGCAATCGCCGTTTCACGTACGCGCGTTTGCAGCGCTGGTAAAGCCACCGTGTGTAACCATTTGTTGCTTACTAAAATTATTATGAACATTAATGTGCATATCTTCGTTATACTACGCAAACCAATTATCTGGAATTTACACAGAAAATTACTTAATTTAGGATAACGCGACAAAATTGCTATAAAATACAAACATTTTCAAACTTCAGTAAAACATAAAATGTAGAATCATCCTTTACAAATTAACGTGAGATTTTGACACAGTGAAATTTTAATTGCATTTATTTCAAAGTCGATATTTTATGAAATAATTGTTTTTCCCAGTATAACAGCGATATCTTAATTTTAATCTCGTTCAATCAATTTAGTCTTAATATTAAATGTTAAATGCTAAGGATTTTTTTTTGTATGTCACATAATTAGTAGAGTATGCTATAGACGTGTCTCGCTATTGAAGATCAGAATATCAAAATATTGCAATAGCGGGCTTTACATAGACACTCTATCATGGGTGATACAGCAATCGTGCGCGATTGAGCTCATCAGTTGCGCGCGCAATCGCGCACTCGATCCTGCGCTATTAGCCTTTACACGGACACTCTTTCCGTTCTAACAACAACGAACACAATCAATCGCACAACAAATCGCGCGAAAGAACGTTGGCTTAAAAAAATTCAAACATGTAATCGCGCACGATTGCGCGTGTAAACTTTCCCGCGCGTAATCCTGTACGCTCTTTTTCACACGCGATAGAATGACTTTGTAAAGGGCAGGTGAATAGTAGCTCGATGGGAAGCCATTAGTCTTTACATTTAGCAATACTGCTAAATGTAAAGACACCAAACGTAGAAAATCCTGCCATCGACACCAGCACTATTAACGTTAACAGAAGTGCCGTTACTAGATACTAGAAGCATCCGCCGGCAGGGTTAAAAATTGGCATTGGCAGAATCACAATATGATTGATTGACAATTCATATTATGAATTTTGAAACAAAACAAGAAATTGCGTTATATGAATTGTAAGAAACTCATAATATGAATTGTCAATTAATCATATGATTCTCCCAATACGGCCTTAAAATCCCGAAAAATTGATGAATGATAATTTTATAAATGCATTTACTAGTAAAAAAAATGTGATTAGTGAATCAGATTAGATGCTGTCATCGCTTCTATTATAACATTTGTACCACACTCTATAAATTGTTCCAGATTGTATTTCTAAGTATAGGATCAGTTTAGTGGCCCTTAACTATGTGGTCCCTCATCGCCCTTGGTCATTCCGATTATTATTAAACACCGCCGCCATATGGGCTGCAATAACCTTGATGCCTTCATGATTACGAGAAGAATTAAGGACATTGGAAGGTCAAAAACGAAAGCTGGAATTAACGTAAAGCCATTGTAATCATAGATAAATAAAATATTCCATGTACGAATTGCTATAAAGTTGCTTTGTATCTTTTTCATTGAGATCTTACAAGTTATGTCACCGGGTACGTGTGCCGATTTACATTTTACGTTATTGCAGTAATCGACATTGACATTATTTAACCAAATATTCTACTTTATGTTGCTCTGGAAGGACCAGAGGAAGGATACTTATCCGCTCACGCGATGCGCTCCTCCTACCGCAAAATGACGGCTATTTGGTTTCGGAAATTAGAAAAGCATTCAGTTTAAATACAAGTTTTTATAAATAAAAATTATTATTCTGCATTGCTAAATAAATACCCTCCGTACTACCAACAAAAACATCTCAAATAAAATGCAGTAATACACCGCAAATTCTGCACTTAAAAAGCACTAATGAAATTTTTGGTGTACTTGGATAAATATGATAATATTCCGTTTGAGTGGTTCTAACGTTTACCATAAAATTACTCCTTAAAGTATAGTTTATAAACATTTATATTCAGGGTAAACTTAAAAAACGCTACTTACAGTATGTTTTCAATAAATAAACACCGAAATCACCAGCCCAAACAATACACACACAATTGTCGTGACGCATTTTTGAAGTTGTTTATTTTTTTTAAATGACAGACCCAGGCATTAAAAACTTTATGGTTTGCTAGAGTAGTTACCGAAATAGCAATTAATATTAGTTCTTTTACCTGTTATAACTTCGATATCCGATAAATCGGTATAAAATCATCACGGGGAACTCTAGGTGTGGTATGCGTCTACGGCTGCATGTATCGCGTGAGCGGATAGTAAGAGATCTGACTCTCAAACAGTTGTTAAATAGAGGAGGCGTAAACTGGAATATTGATCTGTAAATTTCGTATTAAATCTAAAAAGGTCTCTGGCTAAAAACCACATAGAAGTAAATGGTATAGTTTAAATGGCATTCGGTTGGTCCGTTAATTGACCAACTCACCTGTAGAGAAGTTCAGGCATCATGGCGATGCAGTGGAACTGCAGCTCATCTGGAGACATTTTCTTCATCTTAGAGAATGACTGGTAATGCATAGTTCGTAATTCCCCGCCCCACTTCCACGCGCGCGCTGCTAAGTCGTAGATACCACCGATCCAGCGGCTGGTTCGAGCTGAAATTTTTAAGATAGAATATTTTTAGATTCTTTTTGAAAAATCAAAGTAGGAGGTAGCATTTTAAAGTCAGATTAGAAATTATTTGTGACAAAGCGACCGCTGTCATCGTCATCCCACCTTTTATCACCCTTTTTTCTGGTTCGTGGCCACCTACTTTGAAATTTTGAATCGTTCTTAAATTCCTTTTCTTCGTCACTCTTACTTTTCTTCTTTCCGTCGCCACTAAATTTCCAAAGCGAGCACACGTGCTTAACTTCACATAAAATTCTGACTAGTTATACCATTGAAAATCATGTAACCTAACTGCTTGTAATAATATTTGTAGCAAATACAGGCCCATTTGGGGTAAGTTCCTTTTTTACCATGTTCTGTATGTAATTTTAGTAGGGCGTTTTTATATGATTGTACCTGTGTTTATATCGTTATTTTCTTTTGTTACAGCCTTTACGCCTGTTCTTTTCCCTTCCTGTATCTTTTATTTCTACCTTTTACAATAAATTCATGTTGGACCGAGCCTTGTGTTTAATTACGCGAGGCCCGCGTTACATACTTTTGCAAAGTCAAATGTCAATGAGAGTAAAGTACTGCCTCATAGGAAGAACATTTGCTGGAAAAGAAAGAAAAATGTAGGAATTTTATTGTAACTTACAGACATCAGGCTTGTTAAGGTATTTTCTAAGATTTCTGTCCTCCCATCGCGCTGGAACAGATAGGTTGCTGTCGCGATCCTGGGGACAAAGAGAATGACTTCTTAAATTTATAACCAAAAGGATCACTTTTCTAAGTATTAAGTTTGGCCTTGAATATGTTAAGATTCAGTTCCTGGAAGATTTTAATTTACGCAGGTGTCAAATCAGAAAACAGACATTACTGGTCGCAGAGGATGATTCAGCAACTGCAAGGACGTCTACGTTACAGTCGTGCGTAATGAAATTCTTAAATTACCAGTAAGATGGCAGAGCAGGTCGCCTTGACGTGTCAAAATATTTGATCAAAGTGAATGATGTCACCTTGCTTGACCCACATTTTGTCATTCTTGCAATGAGGATGCATCAATATTTTTTCTTTTCTCTACACAAATGTAGACCGAACGTAAAATATATTTTATAAAGTTGCTAATGACTTCAAGCGTGCCGTGATCCCATGTCTGTGGTAAGAATCATCGCGGGAATATGTGATTCCTTTTCAATCAAGGATATATTAGTAAACATTGGTAATTTTCGGATTAACCCTTGGGAAACAGCTGTGATGATATGCACATATATAAAACAGCATTGATAGAAAGATAACATCCAAAACATAATTGTGTTTTAATTGCCACGTTTAAAAATAGGCCACTCGTAGATTGTCATGCAAATTAACACGAGACTGGGTCAACGGTTTCCGCGAACTTTGGCAATCACTCCTTATTAAGGCGCTTTCAACTCGATTCTGACAGTAAGTTCATGATGGAAGCCTTGCTTATTGGCAATTGTTCCACTTTGATTCCATTTATGAACTATGGGAGCGGGGGCTCTTTAAAGAATCTTCGCCATGACATGTCTACTAACGTCCAATACTATTTATAAGGAAGATTTGCCAATGGTTTGAAGGGAGGTGGACGTGTTTAGAGGGATGCAGGTTGAAGGTTGATCTATTTAGAGCGATGCTGCTACAGCTTTTAATGTTATGGCTAGAGAAGTGGTGGATCCGGTCAAACTTTGCAACAATGATTCATCAAAACCAGAGGAACACAAGATTTAGGCGAAATAATTTAAAAAAAACCTTTAAGAGTCAAGAGAGATACTACCTTAGCTCGAATTAAAAGTATCCCGTACTAATACGGTTCATTTTGCTTATTGCAAGAAGCCGACAATATGGGAAAGTATACGTGTTCTATTCAGTTCAGTTGATATAAAAAAAAAATATTATACAATAGTTTTGTAAGGACTATTTTAGAGTATGGCAGTATTGCTTGGAGACCACATTATGCGGTTCACTCTCTTAGGTTAGAACGAATTCAGAAAAGGTTCTTATGGTATCTTAGTTATTTACGAGGTTTGGGTAAAAAGAGTGTCTCGTACACCCGTCTCAAGTTCTTCAAAATATCTCCTTTATCTTTGCGACGTGAAATGCTTGATCTAGTATTCTTATATAAACTGATTAACAATAAAATTAATAGTCCGCAACTTCTCTCTAAAATACAGTTTAAAATACCCTCTCGTCTACCAAGGTATCACGTAAATCTTTTTCACCCCCCATTGCGCAAAAGTATCCTCGGTTCAAATTCTCCGTTTGCTCGATTAGCCAGTCACGTCAATGCTCTACCTCTTGAAATGGATATCTTCGCAGTCTCATTGCCTCGCTTCAGGAAGTCAATATTGCAGTTTTTGGCATAAAAGTGAATATTATTTGTAATGTATATTATATTTATTTTATAATTTAATTTGTAAACATATGTAATATAAGTACAGTAAAAAAAAGAACAGTAAATTAATAATAATTGTCTTAACTTTCATACTCTCATCATGGCATGTTCATCTGTAATTGGTTAAGCATTTTAACTGTAACACCCTGTCGAATGTGTGTAAAATATTGTTGTAACTGAATGTATTAAGCGTTGGTGAATTTAAATAAATAAATATATAAAAAAGTCATTGGAATTTGTAAAATTTCGAGGTAAGTTTGTGTTTTTTTTTCTATCGTGAAAATTTTAGGAATCGTGTTTTCACACCGCATAGTAATCAGTGTAAGTACATCCTCAATTTTACTATATAATATTTTTTTCAAAGTGACTTGATTCAACACTTTCACTGTTAGCGGAATCAACCAAAGTCATTTGAGGTTGTATCGACAGGCCCTGACGCTTAGTTTATTGTGATATTTAGAGATGAGTTCTTAGATTTTCGTCGGAGGGTAACTGCTAACTGAGGTTGGAGAATGGGACCATGTAAAGGGTCCGAAGCGTCCGGTCTTCCTTTAAGATGCTAAGTTATTTAGAAGGAAATAATCCCTATGATCATTGACTTACTATCATTGAGTCTTTCGACCAATATAGTTTAAAATTGACGGTGTTTTTATTTTTCACATTTGCCGGGTTCGATATTCCTGGTACAGACAGGCGATTATTTAAAAATCTTTGAATACTGTTCGAATTTTTGAATGATGAAAAATCAAATCTTCTTTCACATTGACTTACAAATAAATGGACGACGGGTCTAATACAAACACCACGAAAAAAATGTCCCAAGTCAACCTATTTAAACGTAGTGACATGTAAAGGAATATGAAAAAGCTAAAACGTTTAATTTAAATTGTAATGTCATCGCAGTACTGTCTAATTTTGCTTGATTCGCTGTCAGTCGAACAAACGAAGACTAAAGCGTGAATGATGCTCTGTATACGCTTTTAACGCCCTATAAGCTCGGACACTTTTTAGCGCGGACCCGACGTCCATATAATTGTAAGGCAATGTTCTTTCAGGAAAATTTTCTACGGTATTTAAGGCGTTTTATATTACAGGAGGGAGGAAAAATGAATACTTTCCTGAATACTTTTGGAACAACTGTATTGAATAGCAAATCTTCATCGACTTAAGCGTCTTTATGGAGGGTTATATTGTGTATCAGCTGTTCCATAGCTCAGCTTCGTATGAGAAATCGTACTAGTTTTGTGTGACTTGCCAAAAGTAATTAACAAAAGCTGTTAGTTTTAATAATAACTATGTAGCTAACGTTGTATCCGTGAATATGTTACCGGACAAAGTGTGTTCTATCTCTAAGAAATAACAATTAAAAGCGTGCTATTTTAAACGCGTAACTCATATACGTAATGTGTCTATGCAGTAATGAAAAAAAGAACATTGTACGCGCTATAGGCAGTTGCACATGATACAAAGCATCTGTTTGGTTATTTTCGAACATAGAAACCACTGTTACGTAAAGATTTAGAATTACACATAAGTTTGAAGTTTGTGTGTTCTTGTTACCTAATTAGTTTTAATAATAATAACAGTTAGCCTATATATCTAGGTTCGGTGGACTAAAGTTCATAAGTCAAAATCCAACATCATTCATTGAAATTAATAGATCTATGTAGTATTGATGAAAGGCGCGTATCTGCATTAAGCCAAATTTTACAGGAGAGACATTTGACGTTCTTACTTTGTAATTTCAATAGTAAATCACGGTAATTTGGTTGCCACGACATATACGCGGATTTAATTTGGCCAGTAAATTACCGAAATGGAAACTCAGAATCCAATGCTAGTTACGCGTAATTGCACTATCTCCGACGATAAGTAAAATTCAATTCCAATTTGATTAAATTTGTATTGAATTGATATTCAATTATTTTTTGTGAAATTACTCCACTAGTTTGTTATAATTATTAATAGAAAGATCGAACACTCAGAAAAAATTCCTTCGATCCGCCCGGTTTCGCACCGACGTCTTCTAGCAAACCGTGCCAGCTATGCCAACTAAGCCACGGAAGGAACCAGCGGACCTTACGAATTTTTCTATGTGCTAGTTTGTCGGATCTTTGTATTTGGTTTTCAATGACTTGTAGCTGTAGCGCCATCTATGAGAAATCCATGAAAGTACTTCCTCATCTTTTCGTATTTTAATTCTAGTGGGCAGATTTATCATTCTCTTCACATCTTCCAATAAGAAAAGCAACACAAAAAATCATTGACTTACAAATAAAAGGACGACGGGTCTAATACAAAAACTACGAAAAAAACGTCTCAAGTCAACCTATTTAAACGTAGTGACATGTAAAGGAATATGAAAAA